AAAAGGTGACAAATATATATAATTAATTAATTTTGCATTTTGTAATTATTAATTTACTAATGTTATAATGTTTCAAAATCTACTGCTTTAGGAACTCATGCATTTTCAAACCAACATAAAGATGCTTTGTTTCTAGAAAAGACAAGAATAACCATGCAAGATTCTCCCAAAAAAAGCCATTAATAATGGTAACTACCATATAATTAATATAGTGAAAATGACTTACTGGATGGTATAACAAGATATCCGATTTCCAAACTTCCAAATATTATTAATCTTGGTTGTGCTGATCTATTTTCTTTTTACATATGAGAATAACAAATCTGGACAAGAGTTATTAAAACCAATATTTGAATTTATTGAACTAGTTATTTGGAATGAATTGGAAAATTGTAAAGCATTTGGAGTTATGGTTGATGGAAGTACTGACATTTTCACAAATTCACACTTTTTTATATATGTTAAGTATTGCAATAAGGGAGTTATTAAAGTATTCTATCTTAAGCTTTTGCAAGCAGAAGAATCAAATACTATAGCACTTTATAACATTATAATTAATCTTCTTGATAAAATGTGCAGTTTTCAAATTGTTATTTCTCCCCCATTTTCAACAATATAGGTGCCAAATTTGTGTGAAAAGATAGAAAGTAGATAGTATTTTAAAAATTCAGAGGGTTTAAAAAGTTCAGTATTGTAAAGTATTCATTTGAAATTTTCCTTTATTAAAATACTTTTTGCACTATTACAACTTTAGAAAATTAACATATTCTCCTGTATTAGTACTCCACATATAATTTTAATCAAAGCAATTTATTTTTTTTTTTTGCAAATGGATGAATTTTGCAGAAATAACAGTTTAAATTCAACATGCTAATAATAATACAGTCAGGATCAACAAGAATATTTTAAATTATAATATAAATTTTTTTATGTTTAATGATTTTAAATATAATAATACTTGATATAATAAATACAATAAAATTTACAAAAAATTAAAATACTAATAATCAATTATTACTGAAAAAACTAGTAATGTTTGTTTATATTGAATTTTGAATACTATATGATTTATGAATTTATTTTATTTTTTATTTTTTATTTTTTTGAGGAAATTATATCAATAATCTCACAACTATG